TTTTGCGTTTCTTGATATTGATTACACCGTTTAATTGCTAGCGGGTATTCCGGAAACTTATATCTGAAAAAATATATACGTCCGGATCCAGACCTTTGTTTTAAGTAACTTCACATATAGCTTTGTTCCAGGTCTGATTCTACATATATGTTGCTTTTCAGTTATTAGTGGTCAGTACGCACCAGTTTTCTGAACGTGACCTCACAGTATGTGCTGTACATTGAATGTGGCGTCTCCTTACGACGTGCACTTGTTGAACCCTACTGTGGATGGTTCTGCAGCCTGACCTATCATGCGCCTACTCGTTTTATGTCACTTCAAGTTTGTTTTTACGATTGCTATCGGGCACGTTGTAGTCCGCTTGATAACGGCCGACCAAATGCAACCACAAAAGAGGTGCGCTTTTTGAAATTGGTTATACTTTGCAATCTTCAGTTATCTTGTTGTTCTTTGGGTAAAGACTACCTACCATAGCAGGATGTGACTAGCACTTCGCGGTTACATGGCGTCAAGTTTTGAGTCTTTAAAAAAAACGCCAAATTCCTTCCATTAGCAGTCATGGTCACTGGGTACGGCGATCGCCTGAGTAGGTCCTGGCCCTGTGGGGACGGTGCTTTATTCGCTACCTAGTTTCGTATGACAATCGAATGGCCTCGCAGTCAATTGTTTACTTTTTCTGAGAAACCTCCAATGTTTAAATCCCATGTTATTCTTTTTCGAGTCAGTCCCGTTTGAGATACATTTCTCGAACAGTCGGCAATAAGCTTAAGATGCCATTAGATACTAAAATACCACTTTTTCACGAAACCTCACTAACTAAAACCGGTCTAGCGTTCCTTGGTATCCATCTCCTCTTTTGAAATGTTTGTCCGGTCGTTCTCATCAGTTCAGGAACATTGGGAGTAGTTGTAGGTAGTAGACAGAACAATGACAAACCAATGTTTGCAATCACTGGTTTGCCACACCCTTCAGTCCAAAGCCTCCTGTAATCCAACGATAGGATTGACCGATAAAATGCGTAGTTGGGGTTCGAAATTGCACGAAACTATCCTGCGTTGTTGACATTTTGGTATTTTCCCACACCTGGGTTATAAGGATCTGGCTGACAGTCGACCTAAAAATGGGTTTATTAGTCCATACAGGGACGACGGTACTGTGACTTTTCATATTGACGACTGTCCATGACCTGTTCGTCTAAGGGCTGGTCTGGATTTCCGTCCACGCAACTGAGTTTTTACCGAGCGAATGAGTTCGCAGTACTTTGAAATGTTCCGGTCGTAGATCGAAAATTCCTGAACAGCAACCATTGATCATGAAGGATTCGATTGACCGATAAACCATTATCCATTCGCTCCTGGAAAATGTGAATAAATTGAGGTCATAAGTTGCACAACGACCAGCGTACTTAAGCGTTCCCCTCGTTTCTGAACACAGAACTAGGAACCTACAGCCCAGGGGCCCGTGTGTTTTCGTGTACTTGTCGTGTTTCGATTGCCAATACATCTATCCTTCCCATCTCCATTACAGGTACCTGTGTTGCAGTGGCCACTGTTCTCATCCTGGTCATCAAATTCGCAGTCATTACCTTTGCGCAGAACAAAGAACCATGGCAGACAGGAAAACATTTGAAGCAAATTGTCAATTACGTTATCACAGGTGTCACTGTCCTGGTGGTTGCCGTTCCTGAGGGTCTCCCCCTTGCAGTCACTCTTTCACTGGCCTATTCTGTCAAGCGGATGATGAAAGTGAGTTTCGGTCTGGTCTACGGTCACATGACGTTATGCAATTTTCGGCTAGTCGTTTATTTTTCTTACTATACCGTCCACCTTCTCCCCTTGTCGTGTTTGCATGTCAAATGAGGAGGAACTTGAGTTATTCTCAAACCCGGTATGTGGATATGGCCAGTCTGGTTTAGCCGTACTTCGCTTTTTTCCGGTTGCGGCGCAAACCTACAGTCAAGGTCGTTTATACGCATCACTCAGCTCTGTTTCAGTGTCCTGTCGGATTAATGATCAACTCGCCAGGATACAGAAAATTCCGACCATTTTGATCTTGTCATATTTTGCTGAACAGCCTCCGACCCAATAGTTCAGCGATAAATGAAATCTTTCTAGTTGTAGTTGGCAAATCGTCCGAAAACCCCGTTTAACCCTGTTACCCCCTAAGTTTGAGACGCGTTCATAGCTTTGATTTACAAAGCGGACGCTCAAACATATTGCAGTTCAGGTTGGAAATTGATGTTAACTAATCTATTGACGGGACATAACGAAATAGGTGAAAGTGAAAATTTTTTGCAGTAGTGTCCCAGGATTATACATTAGTGATTGTGTTGGCTAGCTGTCCTAGTCTTCAGTTTGTCCAGAATATTTAGATGTTTCTTAGTCCCGCAGGTTAAAAGCTCAAATGAGACGAAATGGGTAAGATAGACTTGGTGGATACAGAATTACGCATTTTCCTCTGACTCTCGACTGAGCAACCTGGCAGTATCCCAGCCCTCGTGCTTCCCCCGTTTGGCATGGGAGCTAGGCACCGAAATGGTGCCACAACTGAACGATATTACTATATTTTGTTCATAACCACACCAGTCTCGTTTGAACGGCCGTGTTCCTGTTCTGGCGTAATTATTCCGGTGAGTCCACACCAAAGGGAAGCACTGGACTCGAGTTTCGCTCTTATTAGAGCTCATCAGCAGTGTATATCCATTGGCCGTGCTGGGATTTGAACCCCGGACATCTGACATGCGAGGCGAGTGTGTAACCACTACTCCACTTTGGTTCCGCTTCAAAATCCCGTGAAGACCCGAATGTGCAGGCTCGACAGTGACTGGCCTAGTTTAATGTATCGAAAAGTTAGACACAAGTTTAACCTTCAATTGGAGATTTTTTCCTGTAAGCGAAGCCTAACGGTATGTAAAAGCCGGAAGGCATCGTACAAATGGGAATCATCCTCAATACGCATCTCACTGTTGATTTTGTCAACTTTCCAATGACCACTAGTTATTCGACCACACTGGACCAAGTACTGGTCCTCGTATCTTTTAAATACAGAACTCAAATCCGAAAGGGTCCCCTCTCATCCTATGACTTTTCTCCTGGTGACTCTGCTTAAACAGTCTTTGCAGTTGCGTCGCCTAATCCTTTTTGACGAAAGAATCCAAAGAGACATCATTTCACAGTCGATTTCGTCCCCCGTGTCTGCACACTTCGGATGAATTAACTCGTAAGACAACACCATTCGCATGCAGTTTCGTTGGTTTGGACTACCCGAGTTATGTTTCAAATTCACCTTTTCCGGGACTTTCAATTTCCGCCTACTGTTTTGAGTATCAGTGTGAAATTAGTCTGTGTACCCTTATGACAGAGACTTGAACTGGAACTGATTGTTGCTTCTATAAGACGAATTATGTGGTTGATAAAAACTCTTCAGCAGCCTACAGCCGGTTTTGTTCTTGGGATCCCTCAGGTAAACACCAACCCGTACGTAATCGGAGTTATGCACTCATTCGCAAATTCATTTGATGTTCATGGGAAAGTCGACTGAATCTCTCGTTTGTTATATTCTTCAACTGAGTTTGCTGCACAAAGGTCGCTTAATGCTTCAGTTAATACAATGTCACAGTATGTTGTCATGGGGAACACTATTCAGAAGGTTGCCCTCGGGCAGTTTTCAGCAACCTTATGAGTAGCTTCCCTCATGAAACTATTGTTACTTTCTTTTTTTTGTGGCCTGTCAAACAAATGCCGTCTTGTTGACGCGTTTTACTCTCGTTTGCATTACTTAGCGTAGAAAAGATAATCGCCCAGCTACAACACCCTTTTCGGTGCCCAGCTGCCATACCACCCGAAGGAAGCACACGGGATGGGGTACTGCCAAGTCGCTTAAGTCTAGACAGGGGGGTCGAGATAGGAAGCACACGGGATGGGGTACTGCCAAGTTGCTTAAGTCTAGGCAGAGTTCGTGTTCGAATCACGGACCTTCCGGACAGTAAATTCGCACTCTAACACTGAGCTGTCTATTGCCGAGGTCACCTCTACCATCGCGTTCTCTCACAAGAGGCGGTATCCTCATATTCTGAGGTATACACCACAAGAATTGACCTTCTAATTCGGGATAGCACAATAGTTGTAGTTTTATGGCAACCAATTAACCATACTGGCAACTCAGGCCATTGCCTATAAACTTTCAGTTGATTACCAAACGCTTTCACTCTTAGCTACAGCGTCGCCAACATGATATCCGAATTTCAGTTGTTGACATTTGCTTCAGTTCCCGCTGGTATTGACCACATAATGACGTCGATTGTTGTGTGGAAGTTGAATCTTTACCGTCGTTTATTTATACCAAGCATTGAACTATAGATAACTGCCTGTTAAACTTTCACAAATGGCGGCAAATAGAACACCTACTCGTTATAAATGTATATCGATCGGTAAACATTGTTGCTTTAATTTGTCTTCAGCTTTTAGATTATTGAAGTGGTTCACAGGGACAGGCAATGAGTCTGAACATTGATTCAAGGTGTGAAGGAGTCGGTCCATCAATCACTCTTCTCCAAGAAAGACCCTATGGCAACAGAATACTATTGATTCGCTTACTCTAGGGACCTTCTGTACCGTTGGGTAGCCAAGACATTAAATACGGCCCGCTGTTCGACAGGGACCACCTCGGAAAACAACCATTGCTTGAAATGACGATCGGTTTATTCTGGGTGTACTAAGTAAATCAGGACATACGAATTCTAAGCTCAGGTCAACTGCTTACTAGCGAGGTGCACTAATAAGTTTGATACGTTAGGCGGTTGCGAATAGTGAGATGTTCTTTGGAGCGTGGGCCCAGCAGCGGGTGGTCTTGTCGTTCCACTATCTAATAAGAATACATCAAAGTCCTAGCGAACTGAATCGCTCTATGATAGCCCAGTTGTGTGGCTGTTGGTTCACTTGTAACTTTTCACTTGTCAAATTTACTGGACAGGCACATCGTGGGGAACGAGGAAATGAGATGCGGTTTGGTCGAAAACAGGTCATGGAAGACTATTCAACTAATATAAAAGGCTGTCAAAAATAACAAACGAAATTGGCGAATATACACACTCATTTACAAACTAATTTGGTTTTTCGGGAGACTCACCTGGAA